ATGTTTGTTTTATCATGTTGACATTAACCACAAAACCTGAAATGTCTTACATGTATGTAATAGTTACTGGCAGAATTATAAGTGATCTTTAAAAAAATATGTGGTACTATGCTATTAAAATATAGGGAGAACTCAGTGGGATGGTGTAAATAAGGGCATTTAATATGGCCAAATCCTATCCAGAGAGAGTACTCAAGATTGTGCAGTATCATCCCATATGTTACCAAGACATTCATAGCGTACATCTGACATGTTGCCTTGACATTCATAGCCAAAATTTGATTGGTTATTTAACCAGGACCACCTTTCTTTTGTGCTGTAGGCCATCTCTATCCATAGACTAAATGATTTCCTTGGTGGCAATATAAAAAAAAGTTGTAATCCATGTTTTAAATTTTTTTGTTTTCATTACTTAAGGGCAATGACAAAACAGGATGTTTCAAGCTTTAATTTCAAAAATTCAAATTTTATGTAAATACATAAACCTTATTTAAATACCAAAAATAATAACTACAAATGCATTAGTCGATGTACCAACATATTTTTTAAGGTCTATTTTAAAAAGTGTATTTAAATTAATATTTAAATATGCACAATTATGTTTGTATGTAATTTCTTGTGCTTGTATTCTATGCTTTTTAATTAAACAATAAATGTGTAGATGGGCTCAAAAATATTCAAGCCATTTTCTAGCATGCTGTGATTGCTGAACAGGAATAAATAAAACCATACATAAAGGATGATCCCTTATACACCTTGTCATATACCTGTAACATTATCACTTAGCTGTCACTAAATCATGCAAAACTAAATCTCATGGTTCATTTATAAAAAGTGATATTACAATGAATATAACTATTATCTCTATAGACTTAAGTAAATTATTCCACTCATCTGTTTCTAGACAAACTATGCCTTCATTTTTAATATCCAAATAGAAAATCCCTGATATACACATAGTCATACTAGACAAAAGGAGTTGAATGAAGGAACTCATTGTTTGAGTTAGAGATAAAGTAAGACAGACAGCTTCTGGCTCAGGGTCATTTTAGGTCAATCAGGGTCATTTAGGCCAAGGTCACAAAAATAAGCATTGGAATGCCACTGTAATCATTTAACTTAAGGCCCATTTGTATGCAGGCTTTCTTCAGACATTTTCATTCAGTAAGTTGTGAGTGACTGTAAGGAGAATACACGAGTTATAGTGGGACTATACTTTCTAGATTTTTTTCAAAATAGTGCCTTCCCCCTATAGAGAAAGAAACACTGTATCCTAAATATATAAACACTCTCTTTGTAGCCCAAGTCAGTTCAGGCTAAACTTATATGAATTAGTGTTCTGTATTTGACAAATTTTGACTTAACAAGTGTGAACTCTAACCATATTATCAATACAAAAAATAGTAACAGATTTACTTTTAACACTTGCAGTGTAAATAATTACAATCTTCTTCTTCTTCGTTCTTAACTATTAGTGTTGAAGGGGTTTGAGATTTATCTGCCAGTGGGTTTGAACTCGAGACTTTGTTCGAATTTATCAACCATGAGCTTTTTGCCGACTCGACCACGCCTCCAACACAGTTAAGCGTTACGTGTCAACTGGTTATGCGCCATTGAGGCCATTGACTCCGATTTCAGCCTGCTTTTCTTTTTGGATTTGCTTCCATAGCCTTTGTCCAACCAAGAACAAACTACAAGGCAGCAGTTGTTTAATTTTGGAGTTGTCTCTCCTAGAAGAGTGGCTGTCCCCAGCTAACGAGCCTCATCTGCCCGAGGGTTCGAACTTGAGACTTTTTCGGTGTAGCAACCATGAGCTTTACCGACTCGACCACGCCGACCCCCTTAATATAAATCATATTGTAACAATTTAATCATACAATGAGAATGAACTGAGTAAAATATATTTATTTTAAACTATATAGGCATACTCAACTGGGCTATATTATTATCATATGAAAAATATCTAGACTAAATAAGCCTACAATCTATGACAATTTAAAAACAAAGTACAGATGTTATCCAATATGTGTAAGGGTAGATTCAGAACTAAAAGGTAGACTTGTGAGAATAACAGGAATGGCTATTAGTATCATTAGCCTACATAATAGGCCTGAGTGATTGATACAAAATATGTAGGCTTGATAATAGAACATTTAGGCTAACATTTGAAAAATGCATTTTCCAACTTTCTAAAATGCAACCATGTGGCATGACATTTTTTTTATCTCACCCCCTCCTCCCAGGCTGGACATAGTCATCCCAAATTCTGAAGGTCACTGAAACAGGTGAACTCTACTTCATCTGCCAATCGACTGTGAGGTTCCAAAAGGTACTCCATCTCCTTCTCCCCCCCCCCCTTACACACACACACATAATAGTTAATAAAAGAGTCACCCCCCCCCCCCCCCCCCCACTTCATTGAATGATGTTGATAAAATCTCGACTTCTGGATCTGGGATAGATTTAGGGCCGATATTAAAAAGTATTGGTTATTGCTAAGAGAGAGATTTAGTCCTGGTATAATATACTTAGTATACTAGATCAGATTTAAATCTAGATCTAGATCTAGATGTATGATCCAATTCAAAATTGGGTGTGGGCCCGAAATAGTAATACACTAAACTGGGAAACTCTAAAGTTTAGAGTTTTCCAGTTTAGTAGGTTGAATTATGGATTTTTTAAAATAAAATATTCTGTTATTTCAAATACACCATTAACTTCCTTACCCCTTAAGAGAACATGTGACACCTCATTTAAATATCTAGCTTACTCGGTTGACGAGAAAATAGAGAATTTGAAAATTAATCAAAAAAGGAAAATGAATGACAAATCAGCGTTCTTGGCCCTCGACCGGCATAACATGACGTCGTGGACTTGTGTGCACGAGCTTTTAATTCCCGCCATGGTAATTGCGTCAGCTTAGGTAATTTACTCACCGGAAAATAACAAAAAGCAACTCGTTAATAATAAAACTGTATCTAGTTATTTTATTATTTATTAAATTCTACTCCACATGATATTCATACCATTTTATGAAGTAATGAACACCTGCATAAATCAAATGACCATAATAAATATTTTTATTTCAAATTCTAATTTTAAATAATAAATATGCTTAAAATAATATGATAGTAATAGTTATGATAGTTTATAAATACAAATACATTTTACACTCAATTCACATTGTATTGAGTCAACAGCGTGGCAGCTGAGGTTCATACATGGTATTAGTGTCTTTTTTTTTTTACATTACATTTTTTTTTTCATCTTGAAAACATGACGTATGTGATTATTTTTTTAAAATAAAATCTCCAAACATCGTCACTCGCGTGATTGCTTGCTTACGTTTACTATCCTGTGGATGAAAAATCCCACCACGGTCGCGGGGTCACCGTGACCTATAGTACACGTCATAGAATGAACACGCGTACACGAGATGGTCGGTGTCTTCACTTCTCTCTCTCTCTCTCTCCCCCCCCCCCCCCCCTTCTTCAAGCAAATTGAATTACAGACCTACTTCCCTACTTCTGGTCATTTTTTTTTTAAAGTTCGGTCATTTTTTTTAAAGTTCACATATCAGGCATGCTAGACAGCCAGCTGTATAAAAAAAAAATTAACTAGATCTACGTCTAGCTTAAAAAAATAAATAAATAAACGCTTAAAATGACCGTAAACAGATTATTTAGCGCCAAAAAAAGGCAGCTGAACGAGCATTTTTTTAAAATACGCAGCAATGAAAAGGGCTAACGGCCGATCAATTAAGTCTAAAAATCGCCAGTAATTAGGCCTAGCTCTGAAAAAGGCCACTGAACGAGCATCACTGATTATATAAACGAATAGGCCACGCAGCGTTGACGAGGTTAACCACCGGTCACGAATGCAGCAACTGTCGGCCCACAGTGAAGAAAAAATCAATATACTAATAAAATTACTAATACAATAATAATGTCCATAATTTTACTTTTTCCACACATGCTACAATTGAATTATAATTAAAATACTAGACTTAACAGTTCATTCCGTAAAAAACAAAAACTAGTTGTTTCTGTCTGGCAACTAGCGTAACAATGACGCAACGTTACTAAAAATAGCAGAGAGAAATTGTCGCATGGTTACTTACGGGGTAATTGGATTTTTGGTAAAGATCATCCATAATACTGTAAATATACATGGTAAATATCTCAATTATATATTAATCTACCGTTATACGGGCCGTTTTCCCCGTTATACGGTCGTTTTTGGCCGCGGTTCAGTTTATACGGAGAGTGCTCCACTGGAAATCCTCTCATTATTTACAACTACAATTCTAGCGTTTTTTTCTGGCATTCTAAGGCATATTATCCATTTTATTAGCATCTTGTGTTAAAATAATGATAAGAATTTGCGAGATTAACAGTTTTTTCATTTGTCGTGGATTGGACCCTAAAATAAACGTAAAAACCGTCAGAAAACGACGCGTGACGTTTCAGGGTCAGAGGTCAATCCAGCCATCTAAGCAATGAGGCGGCCTACAGTTTAGTGTATTAACTTCATTAAGTGTATTACTATTTAGTTTAAACCATTACTACTAACTAGATCTAGCCCTAGGACTGAGCTAGAAATTGAAGTCACAGCTGTAGTGTAGTCAGAGTTTCTTCCACGCATCTCTTTTTTTAGGAGGGGGGCGAGGTCGGTGGTCCTCCGCCCCCCCCCCCCCCCCCCCCCGAATGTGGATCTATCCGCTTCCCCCCCCCCCCCCCCTTAGATCTATGAAATTCTATACTACAGGGCCTATCTATTATCATGTAGGTATGTATTAGCGTAACAGTCTATTAAAAATATTAACACATTCGGTACTTCAACTACTAGTCTATCCTGCATGAACATGACTACAACACAGCTACACGGAGGCAGTGACACACTTCTGTAGACTACACGTACACACACACACTGCATGCATGGATTCTACACCACACTTTACGCTGTTTATGATTTGCAATCTATAAAATGCATTTTCTTACCTGTATAGGAAGGTAAAACAGAATTTCATAAGTAAATTACACGGACATTGAAAACTTTAAATTCTTAGGTACAGCAGCAAGCTACAACCATTTGAATTTCGCCCCACCCTCCCACGCACTGATCAGCCATGTTGTGGTTGGAGCCTTTTGCTTACTCGGTGGTCAACATAGACACTAGTTTTACGAGCCTCAGTTTCGTAGAAAATAAACTTTTATAAAAAGGAAGAAAAATATTTGAATATACACAATTATTTCGTAGAAGCCTGATTTTTTTGAATATTTACAATTTGTATTGATTAGAAGTTTTATTTAGTTATGCTACGATCTTTTTTGTTGAGCTCTGAGATCACTCAAATCGATTTTTAGAGCGTTCGTTTCCAAGCAATGATTTACGTAATCTGTGACGTCAGTGGAGGCTCTTTCGGGGATATGTAAATATTAAACCACATTTGCATTACAATTTACTTCGTTCGATACTCGAGAATTGAGCTGGTATTATATAATTAGTCAAATGTGTATTAGTTTTGTTCTCTTGTGTTTTAGAAATGAAATATAAAGCATAAAAGTAGAAGCTTCGGGGTTGTTTTATTTGACCCAGTTTAAAACCACAAGTCAGCAGGCGGCGCGGGCGGATAACGTCCAGGGTTAGGTCAAGTCAGATCACGGCGGGACAGGCTAAAGCATCGCGTCAGAGGTCATAGTTAAGTGCAGACAGCGTAAAGTGGAATAAATAGTTGTGAGCAAACCTCTGGGGGGCCGTGTAAGGACTGAATAACGTTGCTCGCTTATGTTACAAACCTGAAATAAAAATGGATGTCCTCGTATTGCTTTAAATTAAATTGTGCAGATCTCACTTGTTTTTTTTGTAAACAAATCATTGTTGAAAAAAAAAATAGCCTCATCGAAAAGCCACTGACCGATTTCCAGTGTGCTGTGTCCCCCCCCCCCCCCCCCATCCCCCTAACACGTTTTCAAAACTACCAGGCCGTAATGGCCCAACTAAGAGGAATGAGGGGTAGTCGATATGCTGTGATATGGGAAGTCTGACGTCATAGTGCATTATTTATAAAAGTAATTTTTGAAACTTGATTTTAGCAGATATTTCGCTTTTTAACAACGTTCTTGGGGAAAAAAAGTAATAAAAATGCCTATTGATCAATATACCCAGTTTTGAACTACGTGGGTTAATATTATAGAACGATATTTTTTTTTTTTTTTAAATTAAGCAAACCTGTTGATAATATTTAGCGCCATTTTTTTTAGTAGCGATGTGTGACAACGGGGTACTGTGAGGGTAAAAACATTACCAAAAACTGTAACCTTGTTTATGAACTACCTCTAATCAGTGGCGTAGCGAGGTCGTGTGTCACCCGGTGCGGCACTTAATGGTGTCAACCCCCAGAGGCGTAGAAACCCTTCCCGGGTACACACTTTAAAATGTTCGAATTGCAACCCCCCCTCAAACTTTCGATTTGCACCCCCCTCAAACTTTCGATGTGCACCCCCCCCCCTCAAACTTTCGATTTGCACCCCCCGCCCGCAAAATTTCTCTATATATTTTGCTATTTTTTGCCTTGGTGTCACCCCCCTAAATGGTGTCACCCGGTGCGGTCCGCACCCCCCGCCCCCCCCCCCCCCTCGCTGCGCCTCTGCCTCTAATTCGAATAGGGGATGTTGATAAATCTAAACTGTGCTGCAGTTGATTCAATAGCTTTAGGGATATTGTCAAACACACAACTGCTGGAGATCGATTTAATATTTGATTTTAATTATTATAAAGGCACTCGAGAATGAACCCCCCCCCTCCCCCTGGGGGGGGGTGGAGTCGCAGATGTGTTGTGGGGGAAGGGAGGATGAAATATCGCGTTGATAGCAGAATACCACATGATAAGGTGATCCAAGAGCGACAAGAGTAAATAAATTATATTTTTTTTTATTAACGCAATCTATTTGTTGCAATATTCTGCCTTTGCCTAATTTAAAATTCACAATTAGAAATTTTATGGAGTTTTTTTCTGTTTATTTATTTATGTTATTTGTTTCTATTTTTTTTCTATTTATTTCTGTACTAAAAATCTTTACATCAACAGGACACACACCATTGCTAAAAAAAATATTTTATGACTACCCCGATCTTGCCAAAGCCTCGCCGGAACGGTGCCGTTTTATTTCCTAAATTGCCCGGGGGATCACTTCGCTCACTCACACTTGCCTGGTACCTAAAATCCTACATTAGGTTAGCATAGCTCAGTGGCGTCGCTAGGTCGGGTGTCACCCGATGCGGCACTTCGTGATGTCAACCCCCCCCCCCAAATATATATATATATATATATATATATATATATATATATATATATATATATATATATATATATATATATATATATATATATATATATATATATATATATATATATGTGTGTGTGTGTGTGTGAGTATATATGTTTATAAGCTTTAATCACTGCCGACTTAGTAGTAACGATGTTTATCCATAGTCTGTTGATAATACAGTTGGATGTAGCATTGTTTTCTCCATTGTTAGCACGTGTACGTCATGGCGTCACCCACACCCTTTTGTTATAACTGTCGATTTGTACTTAAAAGCCTTTTTAACTTTAATTAATCATTAATGGAACTGGCAAAAAGCATTTTTCTTCTGTACATTTTGCAATATTTTGCCGTGGTGTCACCCCCCTCCCCCAAAATGGTGTCACCCGGTGCGATCCGCACCCCCGGCCCCGCCCTCGCTACGCCTCTGGCATAGGTTATTGCTTTCTTGGTTTCTGGACAAAGCCCCACCCTAACCCCCACACATTCACAATCCCAGTAACTGGTACTTTAAAACCAACATCAGGTTAGCCTGATACCCCTAACCCTGCATTAGGTAGCAAAAAATATTTATTTCTGGACATACCCCCCTCTCTCCCCCCCACCCTCATCTTCAAACCCCACACAGTCACTTACACACTTGCCTGCAACCTAAGAACCTACATAAGGTTAGCAAAGATTTTGGTTTCTGGACATATCCCTTGCCGAACCCCATACCATCACATATTAAATAAAACATTTGTAAAATATGTCTCCTTTCAGCGCCCCACAGGGCGTGCATCCAGGAATCAGATAAAGGGATCATAGACTGCCCTTACATGGCGATCCTTGGGGGTCAGATCCGAAGGAATGCTGGTACCATCTTCGGTTGCAGACACTACGAAAGGAAACCTAGACTGGAGATCCAGATGCCTCAGGAACTCCTGTTTGATTTCGAAGTTTTTCTCTCCTAGATGGTCGCTGTCAGATTAGCATTTCTTCGCTCTTTCACCCAACCACGCCAACACAAACACACAAAACAATAAGTTTTTATTTTATTTCAATTAAAAATAATAATTATAAAATTAATAAGAATACAACGAAGGGTTTCGAAAGTAGGACTTGCTATGTGTTTACACAGATTTTAGACTAAATGTTAATTGTAGAAAATATCTCGTTGCAAAAAGCAAATTAGACATTTGATCAGAGCTTGCGTTGTACAACGTGTGGCAGTATTTGAGATATGGGATGTTTGAAAAGAAAAACAAAAAAATATTCAGTCAGAAATAAGAAACCCTAGTTCCGCTGTCTAGACACTATCAGTCTAGTCAACATTTGGAGAAGAAAGGGACAACTTTGTACTAACGGGAAAACTTTGTGCTGATATCAGGAAAAGAATGATAGGACTGGATAGTTAACCTACCCCAAACAGTGTTTCTTCCAGACTTTTTTTTCTCCCGGGGGTGGGGGGGGGTGTGTGGAATAAATGTTTCGTGGAAAAATTGTATTGCTTCGGATGTTGCTCCTAGAAACTCGATGTTATGTGAGAGGTGTTTGTGTATGGAGAATGGAGATGTTACCAGAGGCGTAGCGACCCTTCCCGGCGCCCGGGGACAAACTTTCGATTTGCACCCCTTCTCGAACTTTTGATTTGCACCCCCCCCCCCCCTTCAAACTTTCGATTTGAACCCCCCTCCTCGAACTTTTGATTTGCACTCCCCCTCAAACATTCAATTTGTTTTTCCAACCTATTTTGGCGCCCAGGGACATATGTCCCCCCCCCCCCCCGCCCTCCCCCCTCGCTACGCCTCTTGATGTTACCGAAGGTTATATTTGTACCAGTGGTAAAAAAAATGTAAAAATTGTGTGATATAAGAATAAACGTGGTATGGATTGAAGCAATAATTTTAAAAGAGTATAAACAATATTTTATTCGATTTTCAAATGATAAGGTAATTTAAATTTCATTAAAGCAAAATAATTGAACACACTTTCTTGGGGTAATTTGTAAAGTTATGTATCCATTCATCTATTTCTTTCGATAAAAACGCATCTACTTAGAAGGTGAAATATTTTATTGATTTTAGAAATAACGAAATGCAACATATCTTATTGGCGGCATATGCGGGGGGGTGTCAGGGGGTTCAGCACCCTGACAAAAAATATTCTGCTTATGCCGCTAGAACTTATAAATAAAGTTCTCTTTTAGGTCCCAAAAGAAGCTATTTACTTACTGAACACGTAAAATCAAATTGTATATATATATATATATATATATATATATATATATATATATATCTAATATATAAAGCTCAATTCTGTATGTAACTAACATGTAAGAATTTTGTTTGTCGTTGACATACTTCTATGGATTTTAGTGTTAGACTATTTACCGTGGTCACAGTCTAAATTTATGAGTTAAAAAATTACTGTTGAAAGAATTGGGAAATATTTTTCATTTTTCAAACTGATAGTAATAATTGTCGGCATGTTCATTAAACACAATTTTTAAAAAGTAACAAAAGTTCTAATTATGTCTGAAAATTATTTATGTTTAGCCCTTTAGCACTTAATTCCCTTTGATAAATTAGTAAAACACAATTACTTCCCTTTATAAAACATTGCATTCGCGGAAAAGAATTTACTTTTTATTACTTTGTTTTGGTGTTGGGAAAAAAAATAATTACATAATTAGCGGGGATTGATTAAGTGCAAATGTTGTAGGTATTTTACGGATAAGCTTGGAGTATTATAATTGTTCATTTGGTTTGGTTTGACACCTACGTTCGTTTAAGTGAGTCCAAAAAGACTATGAATAAGTTAGGGTACTATAGTCGA